GCTTGTGGAGGTGCAGGACGGCAGCCACAGTTGCCAGGGGACTTGGGTCATGAGACTCAACTCCTATCGCGTTCGCTAGAGGAGGAGGATAGATGGGACTGACATGTATGCTCCGGCGGCTGCCAAAGCAGCACTTAGCTTCCCGATGAAATTAGATTGATCTCCTCTGCAGCAATACACTGGAAGAGACACGGGAGCGGGGAAGACGGGCAATATTTACTCGAGGAGAAATCCCGGGCTGTGCAACAGAATGGAGGGGCAGGATTTGGGTTATGAAACTCCAGGGCAGTGCAAACGCAGCCTGGTGCAAACGCCTATATTGCGCTTCAGCGAACTGCTTTCTTTAAGGTGGTTTTTGTGATCCTGTTGCTAGGATTAAGCCTTTTGCATTGCAGCATGGAGAGTCTTTTGTTTGAGTTAAATTCAGACCTCTTGATATGTCACCTGACAGTCTTGTGGTTTTGGATGAATATGGCTCATTGCTATTATTAACCTGAGTTGGCAGCCGGGCACAACAGGAGTTTATAGGGATTTTGAAAAGTGGAACTGCTCGGGGGACAAAGATGCTTCCCAGGTACGGTCACAGCACAGTTCTTGAGATTATTTTAATTATTTGAAAGCTTAATATTTTCACTGTGATGAAAGTGTCTCTCTTCTAGAAACGTGAAGCTTTTAGAGGTTTTTTTTAATGATTCTTATAGTCTTATGTTAAATGGCACTCATGTATTTTTTTTCCCTGAATCGGTTCTGTTATAATTTTGCAAAGGGAAGTGCAGTCTACTTGAATAATGTAAAACATTGTGTTCAGTGCCAGTGAATTTAACTGAAAGGAACTGTGTCTTGTTTGTGTGTGTGTTTTTTTATTAAAACAGGTATTTCAGAAGAGCACAGAGCTTGTGTGTGTGCTTGTCTGTGCATATGTTTGCATGCATATATGTGCTTAAATCAGCTAAAAGCCGAGCAGGTACTTTTTGAAAGGACATATGTGAAGTAGTCCCAAAAATATTATATGAAATTACTAATACTAATTGCAAATTCTAAAGCTGTGTGAATTGCAAAGTTACTCAATATGCTACACGTCTTTTAACAAAACCTTCCAACTTACTTATTTTCAATATCACACTCCAGATTATGATTAATGTGTTGACTAGACTGAACCTAACTTGTATATATTACGTCTTTTTGCTTGTGGAAAGGCATCTGGCTCATGTATTGGGTTTTAGAGTATAAATTAGCTACCTTAATGAGAGCCAAGTGACTTGGTAGAAGAGAGAAAAAAATGAAAACAATCTAAAGTCAGCTTCATATACAGTTAAAGAATTGGACAGAGCCAAGGACCTTGGAAGCCAAGTGAAGTTTAAGTCCAAGTTTATTATACTGAGTGTGAAATATCTGGCTGACTGAAAATGTGCCTAGTGTACAATATGTGCTTAGTATAAGCAGCAGAAGTTTCCTGGGGCTCAAGTAGTGCAGCTATTCAAGGTGAGGATTGCTAAGCTGGTAACTGAATGAGACAGATTTATAGATGTAGCATGGAGCTGACCTCTACGGTGCTGCAGTGCCTGTGGACCTGTCGCCCTCCTTCAAGAAATAAAAAAGGGGGGGCTTGCAGTTTTTTAAAAGAGAAACATCATTTCCTTGTAGTGAACCTTAAAAATGTAACTGCTACAAGCAGTCACCCATCGTGAGTGGTCGTCCCTGAGATGGTCCACCATCTGTCAGTTCTTCCAAGCTACCCAGGGTGCAGGTCCGTTGACTTTTGTGAAACCCTGAGGTCAAAGTGATGGAGGGCAGCGTCACCCAAAGTGCTGGGTGAACTCCTTTCCAGTTGATCGTCATGGGCTCCCTCCATGGGCTTGGTCAAGTCACAAACGTCGGTTTTCTCTGCAGAATCAGCAGGCATTCACAAGTGTCACACAACCCTGCAGCGACCTCAACTCTTGTAAAGACAATTATCTTGCAGAATTTTTTCTAAGTATAGGCCGCGTGGTTTCTGTACTTTAGGGAGCTTCTTCCTCCTCACAGCCTTATGGTCATGTTATGTCACCAGCATTTAAATGGATTCTCTCACCGAAAACGCCAACTTTGCAAATCAGCGATGCAGTCTGGATCAGCCTTATCACAGGAATCTTGATAAAGTTCTTTGCCGCTTCAGGTGTTATTAACTAACCTGCCCATGCCTCTTTAAAAAAGCTCTGCTAATGGATGTTCTTCCAAAGCTGGAAGCAAACATTAGCATGTCATACATGGTGTTCTCATTGCTTCCAAATTAGTTGTGCTCTTTCAGAAAGGCCTATACAGCTGTCCTTGGACACTAATGGTCAAATAATAAGCGAATTGTTGAATTGCGGTAAGAAGGTATTAAAACGCATAGAGTACCCTCCTCTTGTGTCCTATATACTCAACTTTTGTTGTATCTTTTCAAAGCCAAAAGAAAAAAAATCCAGTAACACATAATAGAAATGTGCAGAGGAATTTGGGCAGGAGAAGGGAATCCCTTGTTGGAAAAAGCATCTCAGTCAGGGGTGAGACGTGAATGATACGATGGTTGGACTAGGAGAGGACCATTTGCCTTCTGCTTCTGTTCACCTTCCCTACCCCAAAGCAGGATCCTAAATACTACTGGGTTTATGTGTACAGGTGAGCGTGCTTTGATGTGAGTGTACATGTGAAACTTGGAGATAATCTCCATCTGAAATACCCCAATGTACTACGTGGAAGAGTCTCGTATTTATAATGTAAGCTCTTCAAGAGAGGGCTGGTCTTTCTGTTCAGCGCTTGTGTAGAAGTTAGTTGGGTTGAAGCACCGCCATAACAATGGGACACGAAGAGGATCGTGTGCAGGAGTTGGAGATAAGCCCTGGGAATCCCTATACCTCTGTTCTTATGCTCATCCTAACGGGAGTAAAGCAAGACAATTCCTTCCACGCGGAGCCCTGTGAGGAGGGCATGGGGCAAGACGGACCTGCCGTCTGCTCTGCCCTGGCTGTTCTGTCAGCCTTTTAAAAAGGTGCTAACATGAAAACCATGCAGAACAGATAAGCTAGCATAAACTATAAATATCATTTGCGTAGATGCATTTAAAAATAGTTGGAAGTGATTCACCACCAGGCAGTTTTTATAACTGTGGGTAACATGATGTAGGAAAACAATAGTTTGACTGATAGTTTCAACTTACTTTTTCAATGATTAGTCATATTCTGGTTTTGAGCAACTGTACTTTTTAGCAAACTGTTTTACAGTTCCTGCCTGTTCAATATCTTGATCAGTTTGCTTCAACTGCTTTTCTTTAAGACTTGTAAAATATCTGTGTTAATTATTAAAAGGTAATTAGATACTACCTAAGCTGTGTTAGTATGAAATTGTTTTAAAAGAAAAGTCTCAGGCAGGAGGAGAAACAGTATTAAACTAAACCCTGAATGTAGTGAAGAAGTGCTGTTAGTGGTGTAGTGGAAACAAGGAGGAAGGAATGTACTCACTTTCAATTACAGGGGAAAATATTGTATTTTAATTGGAGTGATAACAAAGGATTTCTGTGTCTGTCATTTCATCTATTAAAACTTGCATGGAGTGTAATAATACCAAATGAAAGCCGTTCAGTTGCCTCCTGCTGAGAAATGTCTGTGGCAGTAATAAACTCCAGGAGTTAGATACATGAGAAAATCCCTCCTTGGAGAAAATTTGGAGTTCTAGATTGCCATGCAACTTGCAGTAGAGATGTCAGGAAACATGTAATGGGTCTGTAAACATAAAGTACAAATAATACTCCTGGTGGCTGAATGTAAAAAAGGCAGGAAAACAAAACAGGCGAAAGACCGAGAAGAGCTGCACAATAGTAGGCCTTGAGCGTGAACATGAATTAAACTATCATTTTTCAGGCCTTGATTTCATTATTATTACTTTCTAATAATTTCATCATCATTCATGTGGAAGTTTGCCTTTCTGTCCCAAATAATTCCTTCCCCTTTGTGCTTTCTACCTGCATTATTAGCGTCGTGCAGGGCGGTTGGACCAGATGACCTCCAGAGGTCTTTTCCAACCTCAACCAGTCCATGAGATCTGGTTTTATGAGATATGTTTCTGAAGTATCCCACACAGCATTTATACATCAGTGATTTCTATGCCATTCTATTCCTATAGGTATTTCTGAACATCTCCTTCTAGAGGAATTACTGTTTGCGTAGTGGAAGTCTCCACAGGACTGGTGTCCTGCTCAGAAATAATTTGCTTTTCACTATCTCTTCTCTTGCTAAATGTGTGAACTCACAGCATTAACTGTGTGGCGAAGTGGCAAACGCTTCCACTGGTGCAAAGACTGTTGGGGTTTTCTTGATGGTGGTTTTTATGTTTGTTTGTTTGTTTGTTCTAGGTTTGCTTTTGTTTTTGTTTCTTTAAATATAATCAGTTTCAAGAAAAGATCAAAGAGTGGTAGACAGGTCACGCAGGAGAAAGTCCTCATTAAGAGAACCGTCATTTCCAGAGCAGCATGGCAGATGGAGACTCACCTTTCATTAACATTGCTAGAACATTTGATTCTACATCTCCTGGCTTTCCTATAAGAATCTCAACGAAACATCAGTTAAATGTCAAAGTTAGTTTCCATTTATAAACAGAACTAATTATATTCAGAAGATCTAGGTCAGTTTTCATCCGGCTGAAGAGCAGCACTGGAGTATTGCCCTGTTACATTTGTTTTGAGAACGTGCCCTGCATCTTGCACACAGGAATTTGTACGTTTCTGGGATAATCTATCCCGATATCAAGCTTAACGGTACTTTAAAACTGCTAACAACAACAGCAAAGCTACTCCGTATCCCGCTTCCTCCAGAAAAATGTGCCTCGCTGGGGGATGGGGGGGTGAGTCGGAGGTGCCAGTCTGCCTCTGTTTACTGTCTGTCTAGATGAACTTTCCCCCAGCTCTCTTAGAAGTTTCTTCTGGTTTGGGAAGTGGCCCGCTATTGCCGGGGAATGTTTTTGCAAGGCTGAAATGTGCTGAAGGACTCTATTATGTAACAGAGATAACGCTTATTTGGAATTATCACAAATTACGATGGATAATATCTATTAAATGCTTGTCTAGAGAAAGTTAAAATGTCATGTGAAGAAGCTGAGAAGTAAACAAGCTCTTGTTACCTTGATCAAATATGTTTCTGAGTACAGCAAGGGTTTTATATTTAGCTTTCTCTCCTCTTAGTGTGTAATCTGCTCTTGGAGCTTTTTATAAGTAGACTTTCCTAAGATCTGGAACAGCTACTGCCCTTCTTTGCCAGTAATTTCAAAGTCAAATATCAAAAGTACTAGGTAATGGAAGACACGCTTTTGTCTGAGTGTGAAGGAAATTCAAATGCGTTGCAAGGGTGGAGCAAGCGATAGCACCTTTTTGGCAAGCAACTCATTGTTATTGTCACACACTGTTTCTTTATAGGAACCAGACTGGCCTATCTGGAAACAAAACGAGTTTCCGGACTTCCACTGATTTCACTTAAATATAAGGAGATCATAGAATCAATCTATGAGTCTGTGGATTTTGTTCTCTTACATTTTCTGAAATGCAAGATGGGGGTCATTAGAAGAGGCCCCGGTAAATGTAAGCTCTGCTCCGAGTCTGTCACTGTGCTTGGTTTTTGGTAGAGGAATTGCTCAGTTTGCAGCCTGCCCTTCTTGTGGGCATGTCCTTCTGTGGACGATGCTTGGCTTTAGGTACCCAAACAGAGATGGCATGCGGCTCTTTGCCCCCAAACCTAGACATCAAGTTATTTCAGTTTCAAGTTGCTCAAGCTTTTTTCTTGTAATAAGTTGCTTTTGACATTTGTTGCACGCTATCTTCTCTGCAGCTTCTGTTTTTCTCTCCTGTTGCTAAATGGTGGGGCTGTGCAGATTAGGAAATGGATTTCCTCTCAAGAGACTGAGTAACTTTATGTCTTGGTGCTTAGTTTCACCTCGCTGGGATGACACTAGTTGTAAATCCTGTGAATCTGTATTGGACAGTCTTAAAACCTTCTGATAGGCAACCATGGCTTTGGTGATCAAATTGATTCTCTGCTGTGACCCATTAGAGAAGTTGGGTTACAAGTTGTCATTAGTGTACTGGTCACATAAAGCATGCGCATAGAGAAGGAAACCTTTTGGCTGGTGAATGAGAGGGACAGAAGAGAGGAAATTTTGCCATACTATTGGCATCTAGCGTGCCAGGTTTACTTTAATCCATATTATCCTTGGCGGGCATCTTTTTTTCTGAACTAAGCGTACAGTTCCTTCTGGTAAACTGGGAGCCTGTATCCTTCATTAATAGCTGGAAGTTCCAGGGCCTCGTTTCTCACTTCTTGGGGTTTCATGCTAATGCTGTTTGCCTAAAAGCCAAGGATAAGGAAGATAGAATTTCACTTGATCTAGGAAATGGCTCGTAACTAGCTGAAAGATGATTCCTGTTGGTTTCATGGATAGAGCAGGAGTCTTGTTTCCTATCTTCCAAGAACTGAGAAGGTATCAGTGAAAATGGATTCCCAAGCTCAAGGGCGACAATGCTTGCTGGGCTTTAAAGCGATGGCTGGCTTTTTAAAATGGAAATTTAAGATGGTGGCTACAAAGCAGCCTTAAAGGCAAGATTATGCAATGGTATTCAAGCCTGAGCCCTGCGAGTTCTCCCTTTGCAGAGCACCTCTGAAGGCAGTGGCACCAGGGAAGGCAGAGGCTCAGGAAAGCTCCTTTCCTTGTTACTGACTGCAAAACCAGTTTGGGAATAGGTGTGCTAGAAAAGGACTGCTGTGTGTGTTTTGCTGACCCATGCAGCAGCATGGCCTTGAATCACAGTGGCTTAAGTGGAGATTATTTCTAAGTCTGAATGTAGCGAGGACCTGAGTATATAGTCAGGACCAAGCTACACGTGGCTCTCTTCCCCAGCATCAAAGCATAGCAATTGGTATGAATGTTGTAGTTTATAATGGTGCAGTTAGTTCTATACATGTGTGTTACTACCACGTTTGTCAAACCTGAAAAAGGGTAGGAAAGGTACTTTGTGTTTTTCCAGCTGTGGAGTTCAGTGCTTTGCTGTCCCATGAGGCTGAAAACCCGTGACTGCAAATGCAGAACTTCTCTTAAGGGAGAGGCCAGTGTGAATATATACCTTTTTTCTTTTTGCGCTTGGTTTGTGAATGCTTTCAAGCTAGTGCTTGCAATGATGAGGGGCTCTTTTTTGTGTCTTTAAACACAAAAGCTGCGTTCTTCTATGACTTGGATTTCAAAAAGCTGGAACTTGAAGAAAACAATAAATATCACAAGACAGAGCACAAGAGCTAGTAATGCTGCGCACATCATTGTATACGGTTCTAGTGGATTGGTGCTGTTTATGCCAGTGTAATTTGGCAAGTGTATGGGAAAGAAAAAACAAAATCCTGTTCTGGCTACAGGATCAAAGGATTTGATGAAATGGCATTGCATTTGCTTGACTTCGTGTTTTAATAAAGTTGTATATACAGATCATTTAGAAAGAACAGTGTAATAAAGAGTTGTGGTAATTGATCCTTCTGCTCTTTTATTTTTTAATTAAAGCTGGCCTTTGCCGGAGTTTGACCCAAGTCAGATCCGACTGATTGTGTATCAGGACTGCGAAAGAAGAGGACGGAATGTCTTATTTGACTCTAGCGCTAAAAGAAAAATAGAGGATGTTTCAGTGTCGGTGAGTATTTTACTAATTTACATGGTTATAGTCTATATTTTTTAAAATGGCAAGATTGATAAATCACAAATGTTCTCTTTTATTCACATTAACATTTAAATGTCAGTTATATGCAGGGCTATATTTAAATGCCTGTTAAGTTGCAAATTATTCAGGCTTCAGTGATTTCACTCTTAACAGTTTTAAATACTATAGCGATCTCTTTATTCCTGGGCTTGTCTACTTTCTGCTGTTTCAGAGGGAAGGATTGCTGGGGAGGCTGGGCAGGCAGTACTGGGGGGCTGAGGCAGGGCATAAACTGGTATTTATGGATGTGCTTTTATGCCATGGTGGGGTCTGCATTCTTGATCACATGGTCCTCCCAGTCCTGTGTCCTCTTGTGTCCTGTTTGGTTAGCTTTTGCCAATCGTCGTTTCTATGCTTTGCTGACCGTTTTTTCACACAAAGTTACTTGAAAACTTTTCCTCTGTTTTTCCTTTTGGTATGGTCTGCATGGTGATCTATTAATTGAAACTGTAATGGATGCAGTCACATCAGGATACTTCCTTTTAAGGGCTCTGCCCAGAAGATTAATTTCTAGCCACAATGCTACTGTAAATGGTTCTTTGAGGTTGGACAACTTATTTTTCTGCTTTGAAACTCCTTTTCACCATCCCTAAAAACATTTACAAACCATTTTAAGCTCTGCAAGCAGAAAGCACTGTGTGAGCTGAAATTTATGATGCCGGTTACTTTTACCCGTAGGACCTACTAAGTTCTGTAAGCAGGAGTACACCAAACAACGTTCCCCCCAAGCCCTGGTTTTCCTGTTAGGTATTGGAGTACAGCCAGAAGATTCTTCAGGCAACTCTGTAAACTCTTCCAGCCTATTGCTGAATGCTGCCAGCCTGATGCTTCTCATCCTGGTCCTGCGTGATTCCTAGGTGCACATATCCTAACACCTGGGAGTCAGTTTGTGTCTCATCAGGCACTAACTCCCAGGCTTTTCCATCGCTTACTCTAGCACTTTTATAGCCATGAATCAAGATCCCAATTTCCTACTTCTTTTTGAGAATTTGTGAAGTAAAGCAAGTTCCACAAATGTTGAACAAAATGCATCTTTCTTTTTAATTTTGACTTGTTAGAATGGCTTTGTAAGTTCCTGCTTGTCTAGGTGCTCTTGCCAGGAAAACAGGCTTTTAAAGACAAGATATTTAGAAGTGGTTTATTGGTACGAATTGCTGGCTATGCTTATTACGATTACTTCATTAATTACAAAGTATGACCTCATTAATAAAAAATATGTTCTACAGTATAAATCCTCTTGCCATATTTCAATTGATTTCTTGAAAGCGTAAAAACCTCTTTAAGATCTGTACTTGCACAATGAACTTGGAAACTTCACTGGTTTGGTTTATTTCAGAAAGATCGTTGATTGTGGCGGCTCAACAGCAACAGACTAAATGGCTGATAATGAAGCTAATACGGTTCCATATTAATTCTCTCCTTTATTTTTCTTTGCTAAGGGTGAAGGGGGAGGGAAATAGCTGTATTCACCATTTCTATGAAATGAGTATGTGAGACTGGTGGAGGAACTGTTCCCAGGGTGTTTGAAATGCCCAGTACTTGTCTCTAGTAACCTGATAGATTTCTTCTTTTTTGTGGTAATAGGAGACATTGAAAGAGAATATATTGAAACATTTGCTTGCCTTGATATCTGCCTTCTGCAGCACTCAGATAATGTCATGTCAGGCAGAACTTCCCTTGTAAAACAAAACTTTGCAATAGCAGAAACATTATGCAGGTAAAAACGTGCAGAAGAGTCCTCGGCTCGGCTTGCTGCGAGCTTAGTGCAGGCTTGTACAGTTAGCAGTACATACTGGCCATTTTCAAGGAATTGCATTGTTTATTTTTCTTGCTCTTTATCATGATTTTCATTAACAGACACACCCTGCCTATACAAAGCCAGATCTTGGCTCTAAGCACATTCCAAGGCACTCTTGCCCTTTTGCAGCAAGACATGTGTGTAGGCTGGGCACTCTCCCTTCTGAAAGGGTATCTGTTCACCACCCCACAAAAGGCAATGCTTTCTGCATCTTCCCCCCCATTTCCTAACATGATTTATACCTCTGGATTTACAAATAACACTAAAGGAGAGATTTGAAGCGTGCCTACCAGTGGCCAGACTGTTCCAGTTGAAGTCTAATCAGAGAGGCTTTCAGTTTGCTTTATGTTGCTGTGCTCTTCAGTTCCCATTTTCTGTTGCTTTTGAGATGGGTAACAAAATTGTCTAATTGAAAGCAATTATAATTTAAGAGTTGTATGCCTGCAGCAAGGTGAGATATACTTTGCTCTATTTTATATATATAATCACGATGTATGCCAAGAATTGTGTGTGGTGGATCAAGTTTGAAGCTGGCTCGGTCATTTGAATTCTGTAAGGGAAGTTATGGTTATAAAATTTAAGGAGCATCAGAGCAAACTTTTCCAGACACAGATGTTTCAAGAAATAAAACAGTAGGCTCCAACTTTTTGATGAATGAAAACTGCAGAGTTTGTGCTCACACCAAGCTGGGCTCTAATTATTTAAGCATTACTAGGTTCACGTTATCCGTGAGTGAAATGTGACTATAACGCAAATAAGGATTTTGTGTTTTCATTGGGTATTAAATCAGCCTCTTCATGTCTTCAATAAAGCTAAATATTAGGGAAACGAGAATTGCAGGAGGGTATTGCACAGAGACAGAGAGAAGGCAGCTGAGAGTTTGCAGTATGGCCATTAAAATATTTTAATTGTGCAGGAGAAAGTGATGTTTTCCCTGGGTCTTGCTAGAGTTAAACTTGGCGAGCAAAGCCGAGAAGCAGTCTGGTGACTCGGAGGGCTGGCGGCTGCCGCACCGGGAATGTTGGCCGAAGGCTGTGCCAGGCGTTTCCACCGAGGCCAGGCGGAGATCTGCCTTGGGCAGCTGTGGGCACTTGGCATGGGGGGAGGCAGAGAGATCCCCTTTGTGAGTCCTATACCTTTTTTGGTGCTAAGCAGGAGAGGTTCTTCCCTGGCTTTCCAGGGGATGGGCTATTGATCAGCCGGGCTCTCAAAGCAGAGCCAAAAGGCTGCTGCCTCACGAGCATCCAAAAATTGGGCAGCTTCCCTGTCTGAGTTCTGCCAGGGTATCCCAGAAGAGAGCAGCTGCCCTTTCCAGCCTGGTGACACTAGGTCATGAGCAAATGTATCAGACCAGGCATTTGCATATTGAGTATACCAGGGCACTGTGGTATACGAGAAGTAGACGTTACTGACGCCTTTACTGAACAGCCTCAGTCCACACCCAAACATCCACATCCCTTGGGTTTTGGGGTATCAAACTACTTCTACGGGCAAGCTCATGGGTTTGATCCACTGTCTCGTCTAAAAAGTTATTTCAGAGTTTGTTCCTCATACTAATAAGGGTCTCCTTTCTAATGAGACTGTATTACTTGATTTGCAGGTGATAGTGTTAGGACCTATGACTGATTTCTACCAGTAGACTCGTTTCTGTGCTTGTCTGCTCCTTTTCCTCTAACACCTCCCCGCCTGCTTTCCGCTGGCGCGTACCACCAGCCCCGCTCACTCCCTGTGTGGTGCCACGCGAGGTCCCGCACACATCCACCCCGTTGGGTTGTACTGAGTTTCCAAGCCAGGAGCTGTGTGTAAACACAGGTATACTCCTCCAAGAGCCGTGATACCAGGCCTGGTTTGAATTTCAAATCAAGCATGACAAGCAGCTCCTTTTCCTTTTCAAGGTGCAGAGGCCAGGTGGCCTGGCCGGTGCGGAGCTTTCAGCCTTGGCTCTGCCTTCCCTGACCCCTCTGTGCTTGGCTTCTCAACCTTGACACCGCATTCATGCTAACCTTACGCAGAGACTGTGTTGCATTTTACTGTGCTGCTGCTGTTGTGCGGCACATGCGTTATGTTGCTGTAAATGTCGGTGTGCAAAGGCCAGCTGAAGTATGAGGAATTTTCCTCCAAGGGCTGGCAATTGACTGGGATAAGGGTGCCACAGAAATGGTGCCACGAGGGAGAAGTGAGGAGTAAACCGAAGAAGAAGCTGGGAAGGGGAACCTTGCATCAGAGCTTTCCTCGGGGCAGGCTGAAGGATTTCAGGGTTAGCGATCTCGTTTAACTGCTTGTTCTCCTTTTTATGTTGTCCTCTGGTGACTTATGACAAGACAGCGTTTGCCATTAGGGATTTGAGTGAAGAGAGGTGCTTATGGGCATGTAAGAACCTAAAAGATTCCTACATCTAAAGATCAGCCTAGAGGAAGGCGTGGAGTCCGGGGAGGAAGAAGAAGGGGTGTCAAGGGACCACGAGGAAGAGGAGGGAGGAAAAAAAGCAAGAGCCAAACTGTGCACTGTGCTGAGCAGGGATCTGGAGTTTGGGTGGTTTGGTTGGGAAGGGGAAAGACAAAGAATCAAACGAGGGCAGTGACTTGTTCCCGGGAGCCGGAGGTAGAAGAGGGTTTTCAGAAGCAGGGTTTGCTTTGCTTTTTTGAAGAAGCGAAAGGTAAAGAGTGGTCCGGGCTGCAGAATTTGAGATCTCAAGGTGCAACAGTGGACTTGGATTTGGGGAGCAAAAAGTTCACTTTTGCCGTGTAACCTAGTCGTCTTTCTCTTTGGGATAATTTAACTGAAAGGTCATATGATATTTGATCTCCTACTGTGGCAATTTCTTTCACTCCAAATGTCATATTTATCCCAAAGTAGAAAAAAGGCATGCTGTTTTAAACAAGCCAGGATTAGCCACGTGTTCTAATATACTTCAGCACTGGATAAATGTTGAACAGCAAATTGCTTTGAGGGATTAGTAATTGGATAGTGAGCCTTTTGCTTTTAGGTGAGTTGTGTGAAATGGAGACTCTGGTCTCTGTCTGGCTCTCGGTGGACAGGTTTCCAGTGAGCCAGGCTGAGCAGCCAGATAAAGATGCCAGCTGCATGCAGAGACTGAGTCCCAGCTTCTTAGCGCTGCTTATTCTCTCGAAACAGAAATGGAAGAATACTAGTGGAGTGGGGGAGCCTAGGCTTGTCTTTGCTTCTTTCACTGACTTCCGAGTAATAGAGGAACTCGACAACTCTGAAAATAAAGGGAGAATGTAGCACTCGACATCTGCATTTTAAAAAAGACACCTGGATTTTTATAGCAGCACTTGAAGGGAAGGAATGAATGCCGGTTCAAGTTACTGCCATGTCCTAGGTGGATGCATGCATTTAATTACACATTCAGACCAACACATATTAATAAAGCAAAAGACTTAATTTATCTATTTTGGAATAATATTTCATCTTTGCTGAGTAACCTCCTCTAGAAATGAGGTACAGAGGTCTCAAAGAATGGCAGCTTTACTGGGTGTATAGATTTCTCTATCACTACCACCCCAGTGGTATTTGAGCACCTGCTGTTTCAGAGAGGTAGCAAAGAGTAAAGCATACGATGACATTTCTGTTCTGTCACTCGCAGCCCTAACACACATGCACACAGTCTGGATTTAGTTCAACACACCAGGCTCCTTTCAACTGTCTTATTATCCCCAAACCAAAACTTTCCCAGCAGAAATTGCTCTTCCTGTGCACAGCACTGGGCACGTTCTTTCCACTTACTGAGGAATTTATAGACCTTGTGGCAAAGAGGTAAAGGTCTTTGCTGATAGAGGTGGAGAAAAGAGATTCCAGAAGCAGAACTGTAGAAGAAAACTACTTTGTACCCTGTTGTACTATAAAGACATTTTACTCTAAGTTATCTTCAGTACTATCGGATAGGTCTCCAAGACTTTCAGCAAATGATGACCTCTAACATCAGAACTGTGACTGCCAGGAAGTCTTTGGAGCTGGGCGGTATCTGCAGCGAGCTGGCAGGAACAGAACAAAGAGTGTGACCACAGCAGGGAGAGCAGCGTGGCAGCCAGGAGTGGCAGCTGCCCGCGGCATCCTTCCAGCAGATGTTCTGCTCTCCAGCAAAAGTGAGCATTTCGCAGGACTCCAGCAGCACTTTGCCTAGTGATCTGATCGGTTGCAGCTTTGTCTGTTTGGAAAGAAAATGCATAACTTTGAATCTTTCACTTCTACAGTTCTTAAATAATTAGGTTATCTTTTTATTTTTGGAAACCTGGCTTGAATATCTTTGGAATAGTATATTGGGATGCAAGTAATCCCACTCCTTTGATGCACGGTATCGTGAAATTTGTACCATCTAAAATGACATTGACATTTGGAGTCAGAAACTGAAGAGGAGAGGGGCATTGCAGGTACTTGATGTCATTGTCCAGCAGTCTATACTTAAGCACACGCTAAGTTTGTAAAAGAGCAAACACCAAAATTCATCACTGATGTGCATTTTAGGAGGGATTTACTGTTCACAAGGTTCTGAAAAGTGGGATCTGAAAGATCCTGACCTCCTTTACAGACTCCTTGCAGGAGTCTTGGTTCATTAAACTCCACTGCAAAGACCAAACAGCCATTTTCCTGGTTTGCTATTCAAATTCGGCACTTATTACTTCAAGATACCAGACTCCCCAATGGGTCTGGGGAACGCTGCTGTGCAGAAAAATGCAGTCATAGTGAGAAGAAATTATTTAAAAGTGAGTAATTTGCAAACTTAACCTGTTTTTTTTAAGGCACAAAAATTTTTTTCACCTGTAGAAATGCCTTTACTGGCTTTACGGTCTCGAGGAAGCTTAGTTATAGTTGTAACTTTTTAGAAGGAACTTTCAACATCTGATGGAAAATGCAAGCTGAAATGTGGTTCGCCTGCAAAAGCTTCTGTAACCCTGTGGATTTTATGTGGTTTTATCACATGATGCTTGCCTAGCCTAGGACATTGTTGTTTGTGTCAGAGATAAAATGCAATTCTAGTTCACGAGTTCCTACTGAAGTCATATGATGATCATTCACGTGTTCCAGCCATTGTGTACTGTGCTCAAGCCGCAGATACTAGCAATTAGCAAATCTACATATTGCATGAATTCAACGTACTCGCCGCGATGTTGTAATGAGAGGATACTACTATGGGAGGCTGTATATGTCAGTAAAGCGCAGGACTCAGCAGCTAGCGAAGGCTTCCTTCCCCTCTGCCACAGAATTACTGATTTGTCTGCACATTTTTCCTTAAGGCGTTCTGCGGCAGCAGCTCTCTAACGGGAGCAGCAGTGCAGACTGCTGCGTGGAGCTCGATAATCCCTGACATTTTCTGCTGTTTTGCTAAATCTCGCCCACAGTTAGGGCCAAAAAAAAAAAAAAAAAGTCACCTGTCCCTACTTCTGGGTGAGATTTAGCCAAAAAAAAAAAAAAAAAAGAAAAGTAACCTGCCCAGCTTAGGACAGAGACATGGGATTCCCATCCTGTCCCTCATCAAAATCCCTCCACAGCAGTGTGGGCAGTCGCCTTTTTGTCCAGTTGTTGCTGATTATTGAGCGGAGTCATGAAGTTATCACCCTGTGCCTCGGGTATTTCACACTTTTCTTTATGCGTTTTCCTTTTTTTTTGGTAGCTATTAAAGATTGAGACATACTTACGGTTTTGAATGAAGGGGGAGCTTGTGATGTCCAGAGATGAAGTGTGACAGCACTTCTGTATTTCCATCTGTCCCTTGAACCGTGTTGCTTTCAGTAGGGTTTGCTTCCAGCCTGCTCTTACTGGTTTGGTGATTGTGTAGGAAATGTTAATTAAGAAAGTCTTAGGACCGAGTTAGTGTGTCATTTTGAGCAGTGTAGACTATTTTTGTCTCCTAGCACTGCCCACTAGCAAATGTAAATAATGTCAACCTTACGTGAGTGGAAGTGTAGTGAGTATATGAAAAGTACGTTGAGATCTTTAGGTGAAGAGGGTTGCCTAATGCTAGTGTAAACAGCATTAACTACCGCAGCTGCCGATTCTGCTCAGGATACTGAGATTCACAGGGGAAATCACAAGTGTTTATAAATAGTGAACAAAATAGTAGTGGAGCATCTCTGGTGCCAGTGATGGATGATACTGCATGTGTAGAGCAGACAGAGATCCTGCCCATCCTGTATGTCAGTTCCAGCTCCATCTGAGCCCTCTTAACTTCTTTTTTTGCTATGTTTTCTCTCTGAATCTCTATCAGAAATTACCATTTCTCCATTGTTTTTGAAACTTTTTGTGGTTTCTCTGTAACACTGACTGTTTTTCAGCTTTGTCCATCTTCAGCCTCACAATTGCCTTGTACTGAAAACAAGAGGAACGTGTTACCCCTGTGCCACTCTTTAAAAGAGACCAGGGGACTTAGACACAGCTAGGGAGAGATCTAGGTATCTTTTCTTTCCACCTGTCCTTGTAACATGCATCTCTCTTGAATTCTGTGGTGTTCTTGCTTGATTATTCCTAATTAGTGTGTTTTCCTGTACATCATGAACTGTTCCTTGTCGTGATCTGGCCGGTGTCGTTGCTCTGGAGGGCTGTGCCCATCACACTGCAGTGTCACCTCCGCCCCAGTGGGCATGGGGAGCGAGATGGAGACAGATGCAGCCTATTGTTGCCATCCTTCTCTTGAGCGCTTTGGTACTATCCTTTCTCCTAATCCTGGGTCTAAAAAAGTAATTTGTAAAGCTTTAGAGACGAATGGCTGCTTAGGAAAATGGAGTTGGAGTGGCCTGTTAGCTCCTGGCTAAGTGGAAGTAGAACAGCTCAGCTTACGTCCATGCAGCCAGGCTGCAAGAGACACTAATAAATATTCTGTTAGCTGCTTTCCTGGAGCGTATATCTTTCAGCTGTTAAATATCTCACCTGTAAGTACAATGCTGCTAAACAGTGATTTCAGGGTGTGGGTCTTAGCATGTCACATCTGTTGTTGTATGTATTTCAGAAACTCTGCAGCGATGCTCAGGTGAGAGTTTTTGGGAAATGTTGCCAACTGAAGCCTGGAGGAGACAGCTCTTCTTCCTTGGATAGTTCAATCAACTCATCATCTTCTTTCTCTGATCCAAAAGAACAATGCCCAAAATACCAGGTGAGTCAGTCTTCCTTTTTTGCATAACCCATGTCAAATACTACTGGCAGGTGAGGTCCTGAATGTTTTAAAATTCTTGAAATTAGAGGCTGGCAGTGGAGAGCGGTTTTCAGTCAAAATCAGACTTTGGTTCTGAGTCAGTAATGTTTAATTTTGTAGCTTGGGTTTGAGCAAGTCTAAAAGCAACCAGCTGGTTCTCTCAGGATGTGTCTTGAATGGCAGTGATTTCTCCAGGACATTTGTTCTGTCTTATGATCTGGGTGATAACACGTTCGGTACGATCAGACTTGGCACAAATACCTTACCTTTGTATAGATGAGGTAGTTTATTTTACTTTATTGCTAAATGCCAGGGAAATAACAGAGAAAGGCGCTATCCGTAGGGATAGTTCAGCTTTATAACAAGGGATTTGGTGCACTTGAGTTACATTTTACATAAGAGATTTTGGCCATGAGAGTAGCTACAGTCATCTGACACGGATATATTTCTGTCATCTCTCCTTCCATGGATCACAAGTGTTTTATATTAAGCCACCCTAAAATAGAACTAAGCTCTTCCACTCTTTGTAATGAAGTAATTGTGTGTTTGAGGGAAGCTGCTATCTCCACAACCTATTCTGAAGTACAGTACTACTGATGTCTTAATCTACCGTAGATATAAATGAAGAACCTTTCAGTGCTGACTTTCCCACTGTCGCGTTAGCTCTTGCTATATTTGGCGAGCTGCGTATTCTTGTTTTCTCTTTCTCGTCACACTCTTTTCCACAGCTTTAGTAAGGTGGCTGAAGATCTGTTTTCCATTCCTCCCTTCCTGGAAGGGCATTTAGCTGTGGTTATGAAAGGAAGAGACATTTCTGTCAGCAGCTTCCTTCCAGCACAAAATAACCTCCTTCGTGCATTGTGTGACCAAGAAAAATGATGCCCCCCACTATCCAGAAATTGTCTGTCCTACTGGGCAGGCTGCATGCAAACAATGGTCAACGTTATTAAAGGAAATTAATGTTAGTGGTTGGCATGAGAGTGCATTTTAAAGCTGTGGAAAGTTTTCCCTTTTAAGTCCCCACTTCTTCATGCGTATCACTTAGTCAAAGTCTTACTGAGTTGAACTGAAGCGATGTGTGGCTATGTGACCGGCTCAGAAAGCGTGCGCGAAACTTTCAGCTTAAGTTGCTCTCTTCCACAGCGTATTTGTTGTAAACAATCTACTGCATTCCCCAGACTCCTTCCAGGCTTCCCCAGCAAGTGAGCAGAGAGCCGTAAATACAAGAGTTTTTACTGCACCATAAAATTTTGTATCATGTATGCAGAAGGGCCGGAGTAAGTTAGTCCAGACATCAGTCAGCCTGGCATTTCCTATCTTGTAACTGCTGTGTCTGGTAACCTCAGAAGTTACTTGGTGTATTTGCGGTATTTATAAGTTCTTTTGTTTGTTTGTTTTTTTAAGCTATAAAATGGAAGTCCAAATAATACGATGCTATAGGACTTTTTAAATAGTTCTTTATGTTTCCTTGTTTAAATACGCTTTGACTGTATATGAGCAACTTTAATTGCAAGGTGAAATACAGGCTTTTGTTCCAGGCTTCCATATTTTAATTATGTCCTATCCAGATCCCTCACAAATGTGATTAGAATCCATTAAGGTGAAGCTGAATATGGTTCTAACCTTTCCCACAATTATTTGCACGGTATGACACTAGTGTTACCTCTCTACCTGCTTGTTAGTGGAGTCAGGACTGAAAGTCTTTCTGATTTGTTGATCACAACATTTGACATTTACTTCTGTACTGCGTTTTTAATTTACGTATGGACTTATTGATAGGACAATATGTACAGTAAGTGGAATATTAAATGCGGTAAATATATTCAGAAATGTAATTTCCAAATCATGCAAATTTTACTACCTCTAATATGCTAATGTGCAATAACAAACACTTGTGGGTATTTTATGTTCAGTTTTTATGTGAGCTCGTAAATATGACCTAGGGAATTGGTTTGTGTCCAAGCTGTCAGTGCCAGAGTTTGTGCCCTTTTTGCCAGATGCTCCTTGACTATTTTTTGTTTGAGTTTTTAATATTTAACCCCTTTCCTCAGTTGAGCGCACTCTACTTTGGTCTTGGGTGACCTTAATTTTGCAGCATTAAAGGCCCAAAGAGTTGAGCTGTAGCAGTGTTTCCATATTAAATGCATTAAATACATGCATCTTCTGTTATGCATGGTAAAATTATTGTTATTAAGTGTAGATGAAATGCCAGGCTGAAACAGCCATGGGTGCATCTTATCATGCTCTTTGCCTTCAGCATTGCTTGTCTCTGTCTTTCAGAGGAAAGGGAAACCCCTATAATTAAATTTGAAAGCAGCTGATTTTCACTTGCTTTTTTTAATTTGGTTGCTTGACAAAGAAAATCAATACTTTAAGATAAAGTATTTTCCCTCAGCTTTAGAATTAGATTTTCACAACAGCAGAAAGTTGAAACCAAAACCAGCCATCAAGGGCTTGACATTTATTGAGAATGAGTCCTTCAATTGGAGATCTGCAACAGATTTAAAAGAACAATCATAACATTTGGCTGTAGTAATTTTCAGTGTTCTTACTTCAAGGTTTCCTGATGCTGGCAAACCTATTATTTCCTAGGGCCATTAACATCTATGCTTATGTTTCCTTGGAGCTGCTGGGTCATACTGGCTGATTTTAAAGTCTAGTTTTTCCAGTACTGCCTACAGAGCACCTAGGCAGTGTGATATCCTGGGAGGTAAGGATGGAAATTTCTCTGAGACACAGCCAATGATCAGATTTTGCCCCGTCGTATGAACACTAGCAAACCTTGCAATTGTATCCTCGTTTTTATAACTGTGGTTGCTACTTTAAGTCACCCCCTATCTTTCTTGCACTGATAGCAGATTTCAGAGGTTAATAGTATGTCTGTTAAAGTACCATCATCTTAATTGAGAGTGCTTGAGAAGAGCTAAAAATTGAGAAGTGTTATAAGTGTGTTGCCTTTTGGCTGATTAGCATTTCCTTGTTCCTGCCCTTGCTCTGCGGGCTAGCATGAGCAGAAACGTCAAGCGGTCATTTTCATATCACTCCGAACTGCTGGTAGGAATCCGTGGTGTGGACACCCTGTCCTTGGTTGCGCCCTGAGCTCACTGTCTGACGCTGGGGAAAATATTTAGATATATTCCAAGCCTGTGTAGGAATCCGGGTGAGGATCCTGGTTGCTCAGAGCTTGGGTAAGGGATATGGAGATGTGGCACTTAGCATTTTCCGAGCACAAGGTTATTTTGGTGACTGGTTTTAGGGACCTTTTGGAAGGATTACTCCAAGGAAGGAGTTATTAGTTATCATGCACTTCAAAGGAAATGTACTGCTGTCTTGCACAGTAAAAAAGTACTGCACCTATGAACTCTGTGAGTGATCATGATATTTTAAAATACTCAGGGCAAGGTACAAATGGAGAACCAGCATTAATATTCTGCTAGCCTAGAGAGAAACAGCCTTGGATAAAGGGACAGTAATCTCAGTCATTGAAAGTATACAAATAAGATGACTGTCAGCTGAGCAGTCGTCTCCAGTTGATTGCCCGGCGTAACTTTTTAATTTTAGGTTTTTGTTTGCAGGATGTGATCTACCCTGTGATGCAGCATAGGGACGTTCCTCCTTTGTATTTAGCTGGTATGCCTTACAGCAAGCTCTCACCAACTGAGAAGCAGGAATTGCACAACCTAAAACTGGCATCGTGATGCTACAGCTCTTTGCTGGTACCATCACAGGAGCAGAAGGGAAAGAGGCATCAAATATAAAATACCATCTATAGATAAGTTATGAATCAGTCTTTGTCAAGAATGCACTGGTTCAGCAAAGTGTGTTATCACACTCTTAAAACTTTTTAGTCCCCTGACTCAGCGTCATTTGAATCTGCTTCCCCTCACCCTCTGTAGATGAGTTAGGTTTGTTGGATGATTTTAGCGGTTTAGCTCACAGCCAATGTGAAGACCACTTTCTATGCTAGCGTTATCTTTACTGAACTGCGCAACTTAGCGTGTTCAGCAGTGTTATAGCAAGATACTTTGCATGTTTATCTTTTCAATACAGAATGTCTTCCTTAGTTGTATGCTGCCTTAATAGAAGTGTGCTTATAAAAGGCTTAAAAACAAATATTGGTGGGGTTTTTTGCAGGGTTCTCGGTGCTCCTCAGATGCTAACATGCTTGGAGAGATGATGTTTGGCTCTGTGGCCATGAGCTACAAGGGCTCCACATTGAAAATTCATCAGATCCGGTAAGATTAATTTTTTACTGCTGGTCTTTTTAGAAGACTTACTCCTTAGTGCTAATATGTAATGAATTGAATGCCACAAGTGCAGAGTAGAAGGAATTTCTGGGTTGGCTTTAAAGTTGGTCTGATGTCACTTTTGACACCAAGGGCTGTTATGTCGTGATTAGGTCTATAAAATCTGGAGGGTTGTGAAATGGAAAGCAAAGCTTGTCTTGGCACTGTATTTCTGAGTGACATCTTCCTTTTTGTCCTCTAGCTCACCTCCTCAGCTCATGCTCAGCAAAGTCTTCACAGCTCGCACTGGAAGCAGCATCTACGGAAGTCTCAATACGTGAGTCCATTACAAATTGTACCTGTTGCACATAAGCAGATGAGCGTGAAGACCACAGGACTTTTTTTGGACCTTCCAGATTCTCTAGAAAAATAACTTCTTGTTCTCTGATCTGTTACATCCTGTCACTAGAGTCCTCACCTTTCCCTCGTGGGTGTCTTCACCTCAGTTTGCCTTAGGCAAATGAATGAACCATTCCTTTAATGCTGATATGGTGAAGCTTGATATTTTAAGGTACAAAAGTACCTGCAACCATCGAAGGAGAAGGAATGAGGACAAAACACTGGAGTTGGGGAATTCAGTCCTAGACGAAGAAAAAGGTGTTACAAAAACATCTGGCTTCAGAGGGTTCCACGTTTAGTTTTCTGTGTATTAATTGACCCACCTGAGGATGTGGCTTAGGCTATGAAAGCTTTTTCTAGTGGAAGTCTGCAGTCTTATCCTGTCCGTTTGAGCTATTATGAAATAACACTACTGAAATGCAAATCACTGGTTTTATTGTATGTTTATGTTTGTTACAGGTTGCAGGACAGTCTTGAGTTCATTAATCAAGACAGCAATACATTAAAGCCTGACCACAGTACAATTATGAATGGACTTCTTGGGAATATAGGTAAGGACAAACAGATTTTATTTCCTGGTCTCTTTGACTGAGTAATCATAGAATCTAGAGTATGAAACTCTTCTAAATAGAATCATTTTTTTTTTTTTTTAAAAAGGCAAGCTAAAGACATAACATAAAATTAATGTCGGTGGGGTTTGGAGAAGAATAAGTCAAACAGTTCAAGGAATTAGCAGTGGTTCAATATATACAGCTGTATATGTGTATAAAAAATACATAATAGAAATATTTAGATACACTTAAGTTCAAACTCAGAAAATGTTGGAAAATAACAGTCTGTAGAACCTTCTAAGCAGCATATCTCCAATCAGGCAGGATTGATTCTGCCTGGCTCAGTTCCCCGGTTTTATTTTCGTTAATAATTTTCATTCTGTTCTGTACTCTGGCCACCTGAGCACGTGTGGCCGTGTGTTTCGTACTAGTCTAAGTTAACCTTGCACAGTTGTGGAGGCGGTTTTGATCAGATTAGACAGAATATCCTTTTGTTCTCTCCTCCTTCTCTCTTTGCCTGATGGTGGAAGCTACGGGGTCTTGAAAAACCATCTGGCATCTTTGGTTCTCAGCCTTTGTGGAAGTGCTGTGGGTGACGGCTCCCTGAACATCAGATAGCAGAATGAGGGGAAGGTCTTGGCTTTTCCCCTTGGGGACAGTAGAGCTGATAGTAAAGATACTGTACTTCAGTGCTTGGTTGTCCCGTGTGGCAGCCTGATGAGCTCTTCACCATGTCCTCCCTTTCCCTTGGTATAGATCGTTGACTTTCCAAGCAAATGTCTGTTGTAGTAGGTGGAATAAAGGGCTTCTTTTTATGTTTGCTTTCCAGAATATTGCTGTATGTAAAATACACTTTTTAGGGTTGGAAGTAAGGAGTGAATTTGATGACTTTGATACTCTACCTGGGTTTCTGGATTTGACGTGGTCCTAATTCTTGTTGGGTGTGTTTTCTTCTCTCGTTCATGCTGGCTTGGAGAAGACTACACCTAAGCATGGGCTTAAATGCTTTTCAGGCTCAAAAGCTGTACGCTTCATTAAAATCATTCCCAGTAGTCCATTTATAAGGGAAGCCAATTAAAACCATAAGAACTATTATCTATTAAATGCTTCCTGAATTTACTAAGTCAGGGAAGTTAAAAAGATGCATTTTTCTTAATATTCAGTGTTCCTTTCAGACTTCAATTGTGATTTTTCACAGTGTACGACTGAATGAGGTGCCTGATCTAACAGAGAGGAACTCACTTCATCTACTTCTAGGGTTTTGCTGTGGTTTGCACTCGGCAAAAGTTTGTTGTATCACCAGTGTGGTCTAAACTGCAAGTTCAAATTCAGATAATGCGACTATTAGGTGGGGACTCAATATGATTTAGGTGTAGCCAGTGCCACATGTTCAGCCACACGTTCATCTGTGTCTGGCTCTGCGGTGAGGGTGACTTTTGCCACCGAGCGGAAAGGGTGACTGCCCCCAGAGCTGGCCAGGAGGTGTAGGCACCTCTGTGCAAGGGCGTGCAACAAGAAGTGAGAAGACTGCCTGCTAGAAGAGGATGCTGAAACTTTCTTTGTTATTGAGCTGCACAAGTTTTCAGTCGGTTTGACAGTGTTTGTTTACAGTTCCCGTTTCAGCGCCGGGGGAACCATGGGTAAAGTAGGTAAAGAAGTTAATCTGTAACTGCAGCGTTTCTCACAACTGTGTTCAATAGCAAAGACTGCTCCTGACTCACTGGCTCTCGCCGGGCTGTGACAGGAGAAGGGCCTATGTGTTTTGGTTGGGAACTATTTACAAGCTGCTTCTTTTAGATATGCTGATTTAAAAAAAAAAAAAGAAAGCAGCGCTGGTCATGTCCTTTGCTTTAATGAGTGAAGACCTACGAGAATGGAAGGGAGCTTTGTTGAGGTGCAGCCTTCATGTTTTGCATAATCAGAAAGCTCTGAGTGAGGAGTAGCTTCAAATTCAGGAGAGGGACTGGCAATTAACTCATTAAAACTACCCATGCATTTTTCCTGGCTCTGTGTGCAG